TACAGTAGGACCTTGTTGTTTATCCATCCTGTATATAATAGTTTGCATCTGCTAATCCCACCCTCCCTCCCTCTTGGCAACCACTAGTCTGTTTTCTAATGACAAATTATTTTTCAACATGGTTGTACCAGTTTACACTCTGATTAGCAATGGATGAGTGTACCTGTCTCCATACCCTTGCCAACCCTTAATATTTTCTGATTTTTAAATTTTTGCTCATCTGGGGGGTATATTATAGTATCTTGAAGTTTATTTTCACATCCCTGATTACTAATAAGTTTGAGCATCTTTTTATCCACTTACAGGCCATTTGAGTTTATCTTTTGCGAAAGCCCTGTTTGTGCCTTTGCCTATGTTCCTATTTGGGTTGTCTTTTTCCTTTTGATTTGTGGCAATTTTAAAATGCATATATATTTTGGATAGTAATCCCTTATGGTGTTGCAGCTATCTTCCCAGTCGGAGCCTTGTCTTTTCACTCTTTTTTTTTTTTTTTTTTTTTTTTTTTTTGGCGGTACGTGGGCCTCTCACTGTTGCGGCCTCTCCCGTTGCGGAGCACAGGCTCCGGACGCGCAGGCTTAGCGGCCATGGCTCACGGGCCCAGCCGCTCCGTGGCATGTGGGATCTTCCCGGACCGGGGCAGGAACCCGTGTCCCCTGCATCGGCAGGCGGACTCTTAACCACTGTGCCACCAGGGAAGCCCCTTTTCACTCTTTTTTCTGGCGTCTTGTGATTTTGGGTTTGTGAAATGCTCATTGTATCTGTGACTTTGAGAATTCTTTGAGACTTTGGCTGAAATCATGTTTTCTTTTTTCAGTCAGGGGTTCGCATTTGCTTCTGCTTGAGCCTAGACCACTTTAATTCTCACCCTGGGATCACTTTAAATTAAATTCAGCCCTTGAGGTTTTCTCGAAACTGAACTTTCAGGAGTCCTCACCCCTGCCCTAGACTAAGAATCTGGACCAGAGAAAAGGGAACTGTACTCTTAATCCTCAGGGGAGATTTTTTTTTTCATCCATCCATCCATCCAGCACCATAGTCAAGATAGGCAAGATCCCTGGCTGCCCGCTCCGTGCAGTGGTTTGTTTCTCCTTCACTCTGGCCTGAAGATGAATCCCCCTGAGTCCCAGCTTGGACAGAGGCCTACACTAGGCTCCCCATCTCTGGCAGCCTCTGGGCTGATCTGCAGTTCCCTGTGCTCATCAAAGCAGAATGTCAAGACCTCCAGGCTTCTGCAGAAATCCCAGAATAGAAGCTGGGCTCACTTCCCAGAGTTTTTGTTTTTACTTTATTTTTGGCCTCTGTGCATGCCTTTTTTTTTTTTTTTTTAATATTAGCTCAGCAATGATTTAAACATGTTTTTAAAAACACACACACATAGATAATCTGGGATTTTAGTTCTTTGCTTCTGAAAGTTGACCTGGGTATCTGGTCTTCCTACTGCTGGAACAGAGTGGTACTTTTTCTTTTTTTAATTTATTTTAGGCTGCGTTGGGTCTTCGTTGCTGCGCGCAGGCTTTCTCTAGTTGCAGCGAGTGGGGGCTACTCTTCGTTGTGGTGTGCGGGCTTCTCATTGCTGTGACCTCTCTTGTTGTAGAGCACGGGCTCTAGGTGCACGGGCTTCAATAGTTGTGGCGCATGGGCTCAATAGTTGTGGCTCACAGGCTCTAGAGCGCAGGCTCCGTAGTTGTGGCGCACAGGATTAGTTGCTCCGCGGCATGTGGGGTCTTCCCGGACCAGTGCTCGAACCCGGTTCCCCTGCACTGGCAGGCGGATTCTTAACCACTGAGCCACCAGGGAAGCCCCAGAGTGGCACTTTTATGTAAAACACCCTTACAGAAATGTCTGGGCATGGAGTCACACTTGACAGAGTTGAATTTTGCTTAAGTTGAAGAAACAGGCTGTGAAATATTCTCCTTTTTAAGGCGAAGCGCCGTGATCTCAGTGTAAAGATGAGGGAGCCAGGGGTAGATGGAGAGGGAGGGGATACCGCTTGGGCATCACCTAGCTGCAGTCACGGCCCTTGGCCCTCTCCCCAAAAGGCAGGAAGAGAGAAAAACCTGACAGGCGCCTAGCAGCTCTGCTTCCTGCCGCAAGTCAGCAAAAGTGGTTTGTTAATTATCCCCATCAAGTTTGACTCAACTGTTCTCAAGGCTCAGGTGCCTTCTTATACCAGGAGGTGGTTTCAGGTGAGGGAAGATGTTTTAAATTGGGCAAATTTGGACTGGATTTTGATATCCAGGAAAGTCAAAACTTAGATTGCTTCCCTCAGGGAAAGCACAGGGAACTTAGCGCTGCAAGGACCTTCATTGTTCACATACTTTGTACATTTGTTTCTGTAAACAGGACCCTTTGACATGGAAGTGTTGACAGAAATCTATGTACAATGGAAATAGCGTTTGCCGAAGTTACCTATCAAAATCATGAGCCTGTGTACACGCAACAGCAGGAGAAAAACACCTGCATTAACTTTTTACAAAAAGTTAATGGATACTTTTATGAGCATATGGGTAGGGAAGGTCTTTGCTACATTTAAAGATAAAAATAGGATGGAAATAACATTCATCATTACATAATCCTTTCAAACAGCAGGATGGAAGGACCCCATGAAGAAAAACCAATGGCCAACTCAGTGGGAAACTTGAAACATGAGGATATCCACCCCTTGACTTGTGAAAGCTCTTTACAGACAAGGAAACAAACTCAGGAGAATAGATAAGAGACACAAACAGGCGATTTATAATATATAAGCGGCTATAAAGATGCTTGGCGTCTAATCAAAGAGGTCCATGTTAAATCAGCAATGCTGTTTACCTAATGATGCTGAGATAGGCAAAGCTGTAGAACGCTACTGATCTGTGGTGGCAAGAGTGTGGGGAACAGGCACCCATACGTTCCCAGAGCCCTACAGTCAAGAGGGGCGTAGCTTTCAACCCAGCAGTTCTAAGAATTTCTTCTGATAAAATGGCATATGAAGAATTACACGCTTACATAATTGTATTCGAAGATCAGGAAGTTCCCTGGTGGTCTAGTGGTTAGGATTCGCTGCTTTCACTGCCGTGGCCCAGGTTCAGTGCCTGGTCAGGGAACTAAGATCCTGCAAGCTATGTGGCCCGGTCAAAATTTTTTTAAATATTGTTTTTAATTTAAAAAATTGTTTTTAAAAAAGGAGATCAAATATATAGTTCAACCATGATACGAAGGAGAATGCAGCTGTTAAAAGTAATAGGTAATGACACAAGATGTCTACCTTTGCATGAAAAAAAAGTTAAAGAGAAAAGTTGGTTATGTAATGTGATTCCAGTTGGCATCTATAGACTCATGCTTGGTTTAAACACAGCATCGATGCCGTTCCCAGAACCACCCTTCCGTGCTGTTTAAGCGCTCACAATGAGCTTGTGCAATGAAGGCAATGGTAAGAAGAGTTGGCCCTGGATGGAACTGAATCCCTGACCCCTCAAGAGCCTGTCAGCCTGGCTTCTCCAAATAACATCCAAGCTGAGAATCCTCACTTATTTCACACTAACCCTGAAAAGTATATCCCATAGGCCCTGTACAAGCCAGGAGGTTGGACAGAACAAGTCATCCCTAGTCACAGATGGGGAAACAGTCCCAGCTAAGGGGAGTTCCTTAACTAACTTCAATAGCAGGTGTCTGGATCTTCCTGCCTGAGTGCTCTATTCTGCTAGAAGAGCCTAAGGCAGCTGCATCCCCTAGCCCCTCCTCATCTTGAGCTATAAGCTTGTCCTCATGTGGGGAAGAAAAAAAAAAATTCATGTAAGCATTAGTTTTGGGGCAGGAGGAGGAGAAATTCTGGTAGTTAATAGTACTCAGTAAATGTTGGCTGTTATGTACTATTCTAAGGGTTCTTATCTGTTAATTCATTTTATCCAACACCCCTATGGGGATAGGTATTATTCCCATTTTACAGATGAGGAAACCGAGGCCCAGAAGAGTTCAATAACTCAATATCACACAGCTAGTAAGAGGCAGAGCCAGGGTTATAACTCAAACAGCCTGGCTTGCATTCGACCAATATCCTGAAAACAGAAAAGATGGAGCTGGCCAGGGCTGGAGAGTGCCTGCATGGTGTCAAGGCCACGGGCCTGACTCAAGCACTGTGGTTCCCTTTACGCCACTTCTGTAACTCACGCCCTACCAAAGGCCAGAGGTATCTGAAACCAAGTTTCACTTCCCCACCAGATTCTCCAGCAGCTGGCTGAACCCAACCCACTCCACCTAGGTTGGGTTACCTTTCCCACCCTAGAAGCTCTACATGGCAGCAAAGACCTTTCCAGACTGACAAGTCAGAGGTGAAGGCCCATGTCATACATGAGCAGACGGTCGGCAGCACAGCCAGCACTGGTACTGACCTGTCTGGCAGCCATGCCCACTATGGCATCAGGCAGCCTCAGGGCCAACAGGCTGCCATTCAGCCTGCGCCGACCATCCCTGTGTGGACCAGTCCCAGGGGCCAAGGGAGTGGGAAGGGGGGCTGGTGAGGGGAGGAGTAGCCAGCATCCTCTATGGGAGGCTGGGAGGCTCGAGGGGGCCTGGGAGGAGCTTGTTCAAGTCAAGTTTAGTTCTTTCGGCCCCGGGAGCTCTGGATTCCCTCATCCATGATGGCAACCAAGTGGCATGCTTCGAGGATGCCCAGTCAGAACTCCTGTGGCTGTGAGAAGGTGACAAACCTTCACAGGCCATTAGCCCTGCCAGGTTCCCGATTCCCAGCTATTGCTGTTCTTTGACTCCGCCATGAGTTGACCTCCCCTTACCTTCTCTTGTCCTGCTTTCTCTGCCTGGAATGCTGCCTTTCCTTGCGGAGAGGCAAAGTCTCCTAAATTCAGTCCTGGGAGGCATTGGACTCTACCCAATAATAGAGGCCACAATTCTGGAAGGACAGAGCTGACTCTGAAGTGCAAGTGTCTAAGATGAGAATGATCCTGTCTAGTCACCACAAGTAGCTTTTCCACACCTGCTTTCACTAGGCTTGAAACAAGGGTCTATTCAGCCTGTTCACCTTCTGTTGCCTTCCAGGAGCTTCTGGGCTTGGCCTGGCTCAGGTCTACAAAGACGCCAACCCCTCGGACCAGGGCAACAGCCAACAGCAAAAGAATTACCCAGAGGAGAGGTCTTGGGTTGCAGCTCATGGTGGAGCCTGCCAGACAAAAGGGACCTGAAGGATGGCAGGGCTGGGCAAGGGCCCCTCCAACTCTCTTCCCAAACCCCAGCCCTTGGTAATCACACTGGGCAGAGCTGAAGCTGCCCTTTTGCAGATGAGGTGGACCGTGGCTAGCTTAGCTTAGTTCTCCAATGAATTCAGTTACACCATCTCCTGCCCTCACTATAGCCAGAGCTTCCCATTTTGTCAGCACACCCTGGAGGGACAAGGCCTGAGGGGCCTGCCCACAGCCTCATACCTGCAGGCCCCAGCATAGACTCCCACCTGTAGGAATCCTCAAAGCCCAGTGGTCCGGGAGAGCTCACCATGCTCTGGGCCTGGCAATGTCATTGTGGTGACCTGAGGCTCACTGCCATCCTGCTCCCTACGTGGCTCAGAAGCCAGGAACAGGCCTGCAGACATGAAAGAACAAAGAACTTCCCTATTTTGTCCTCCACCCTGGACTCACCTGCAGCCCCAGAGCTACATGTAGTCCAGTAAGTCTTCAGCCCTGAGGGGCAGCAGGCAGAGGTGCCGCAGAGGAAGTAAACCTGGTGGGATGAGGATAAGGGCAAGGCATGGGGCTGGTTTAGAGCCATGGGCATGAAGCACTGAGGCAGGGACACGGGGTCTGGAACCCAGCCCAGGTCCACACTGCTGCCGGCCAGGCGGGAGGGAAGAGATCCGGGCATACTGACCAGCCCCAGTCCCACGAGGTACAGAGTCATAGGTGCTGCTTCCCAGTTTGGAATCTGTGCCTCCCTCGTCTGGATGGCTCACGTCTGCAGTAGTGGACCCTGCGGGAGGGAACCGCTGTGCCGTGTAGAGCCCTGGCCCCGGCCTTCAGAGTCCCCCTGGGAGGGCTGACTTGCTCCCTTTGGCACCCGACAGATGGGGAGAGGGGATTCCGAGGACGTGGTGTTAACTGGGCAGCAAGAGAGCAGATGTCTAGCGCCCTCTCTTCCTGGCCCTCAATGACCAATGACTGGGGGGCAGGATTGGGGGGAACGGGTTACCATGGCTTCCGAAACACAAAGCCACGGGCAGCTCCCAAAAGGTGTAGAAGCAGGGACTTCCCTGGTGGTCCAGTGGGTAAGACTCCACGCTCCCAGTGCAGGGGGGCCGGGTTTGATCCCTGGTCGGGGAAATAGATCCTGCATGCATGCCGCAATGAAGATCCTGCGTGCCGCAACTAAGACCTGGCGCAGCCAAAATAAATAAATTAATTAATTAAAAAAAAAAAGAGGAGTAGAAGCAGGAGGAACTGACCTGAACCGGCACCCAGCAGCGTAACCAACAGGTACCCCTTCATCCAGCAGGCGAGGGTCTCTTGGCTCAGGAAGAGGCATGCAGCTGAACTGGTTATTCAGCTACCCTCCCAGGTGCTAACCAGTGACATCTGTCTACATCTGATGGAATGTCATGCATCTATTTAAAATATATAGAGGGCTTCCCTGGTGGCACAGTGGTTGAGAATCTGCCTGCCAATGCAGGGGACACAGGTTCGAGCCCTGGTCTGGGAAGATCCCACATGCTGCGGAGCAACTGGGCCCGCAAGCCACAACTACTGATCCTGCGCATCTGGAGCCTGTGCTCCGCAACAAGAGAGGCCGCGATAGTGAGAGGCCTGCGCACCGCAATGAAGAGTGGCCCCCGCTTGCCGCAACTAGAGAAAGCCCTCGCACAGAAACGAAGACACAACACAGTCAAAAATAAATATAAAAATAAATTAAAAAAAGAAGACTGGGAAATATTAAAAAAATATATATATAGAGAGAGATCTGTCTATATTAAGGTGAAAGATTTATATTGTTCAGTAGAACGAAAGTTAAACAGTAGTATGTGGCCTATGGTGTCATTTATAGATTATGTAGAAAAACCTAAACGTACACTAAATGTATCCATATTTACCTTCCGCAGAAGCTGAGTTATAAAAATTCAAAGCAGAGGGACTTCCCTGGTGGCGCAGTGGTTAAGAATCCGCCTGCCAGTGCAGGGGACATGGGTTCGAGCCCTGGTCCAGGAAGATCCCACATGCCGCGGAGCAACTAAGCCCGTGCGCCACAGCTACTGAGCTTGCGCTCTAGAGCTTGCAAGCCACAACTACTGAAGCCCACGTGCCTAGAGCCCAAGCTCCGCAACAAGAGAAGCCACCGCAGTGAGAAGCCCGCACGCAGCAACGAAGAGCCAACGCGGCCAAAAATAAACTAATGAATTAAAATAAAATTCAAAGCAGAATTATGCTGAACACATCATTTCTAGAGTCAGAAGTGAGGCCACTCTGGAACACCATGCCCGGCTCAGGTTAGGGTTGATTGCCTTGACGATCTGGCATTTTCCTTCCTCCCTCTGGAGTGGTTTGCAGGTCAGGGCTCACTGCCCTGCACAGCACTCAGGACGACCAAGTCCCGTCCGGGGACCTTTGTCCGCATTAGCTCACAGGGGGCTGGAGGGATTCGGTGACCCGCTCATCCCTGCCTAGCAGACGGGGAGCAGGCAGGAGGAACACATGCTTCTGAGTGGTCCCCCACGGGCCCTCCAGGAGCCAGTGTCCAGGGGGGGCAAAGGTGGCAACGGTGAAGCGCTGGTAGTGAGAGTGGCAGGGCAGAGCTACCCTTCCAAGGCCATCATTCAGGTCCTGAGCTGTCACGGAAAGGACACCTGGGGAGGAGAGAAGTCAAGGAAGGGGAGGGGAGGGGCAGCTCCAGCACCACCGCCACTCACCTGACTGGATGGGCCACTGAGGATACTGGAAGGGGTTGGCGCTGGGAGCGGCCCAGTGCTGGTACAGCACCAGGACCAGAGTGGGGTCTGTCCTCTGCAGGAGCCAGACCTCCATGGGGTCAGACTCTTGAAGCAGCCCCACAATGGGGTGGACCCCTCCCTGTGGTAGGAACTGAAAGCCTTGTCTGCAGGTAGAGGGGTTCGTGAACTTTGGTCGGCTGTATGTCTAGGAAGTGGAGGTGGGTAGAGAAAGCACAGGGACACCGTACCCTTTTCCCTTGTCGATCTGCAGCTGGAGCCGCAGGGGGCTGTACTGGGTCACAGTGGCTGGATGGGGGAGGAAAGAGGGACGCCTGGAGGGGCAGGAAGTCACTGGCATTGAAGACACAGTGGGTGTGAAGCCTGAAGTCCCAGTTGGAGAGGATGGAGAAGAAAAGAATCAGCACATCCAGATCACTTGTACTATGTGGATGTGACATACGAGGCTTGGTCCAGGGGGGTGGATGGATGCCACCTGCAATCACCTGAGTGATATGCATCGTTGCCCCATCCTCTGCCCACCACGTCTTGTCTTCTCGGGACAGTTCGAGCCTGCTGTGCCAGGCCATCTTCTAAATGGAGAGTATGGAGCCCCCATGGGGCTGACAGATGCCCATCCTGTTCTGAAAGCTCTGTCATCTTACAGACCCGGGTTTGAATCCTATCAGCATTTACTGGCCGTTTAACCTAAGCCTCAATTTCTTCATTTATACAATGGCGCTGACCCCCTCCCTCCAAAGGCTGTGCTTAAGGATCAAGTGAGGTCACGAGATAGCGCGCTGGGGTCATCCTTGTCCTTGCAGTTGTGGCTGGTCTGCCACTGGGTCCCGTGTGCCTGGCTGGCCTGCGCGGCACTGTACACACCCGGTGCGGGGAGGGGCACGCCGGCACCCGGAGATGTTCTGCAAGAAGAACTGACCCACCCTCTACCCCAGCTCCTGAGCGCTCGAACTTCACTTCTCCTTGTGGCAGAGCCCTGGGTTCGGGCCTGGGCCGGTGCCCTTGGGGAGGACGTCCTACCAATGGAGACCAGGGCCTGGCACAAAGAAGGTGTCAGTACACACGAGTGATTCCGCCCCGACCGGAAGGCCTTTCCCCTGCGGGGCCCTCCAGCTCATTCCTGATGGCCTACAGCCGTTTCCCCTTGCGCTTCCCTTCTGTGATGAATTCTGGCTAGCTCCCGTAGCTTTTAAATTCTGATGTCCAAAGCATGACAGATTTGTCCCCCGGTCCCCCTGGGAATACATAACATTTTAAAGGAAAAGACGTTTGAACCCTGACGCCAGCAGCCTGCCCCAGCCCTCATGGCAGGAAGGGTGGGAGAAAAAGATATCTGGAAACCACTCAGTGCCAAGCACAGAATTCCTACACCCCGTGGTTACCATATTAGTTCAGGCTGAGGTTGGTGCCTGGCGCCTGGGGTTCAGAGACAGGTGTGACAAGCTCAGATGTCCTCAGGGGTTACCCCTGGCATCCTGGGTTCCTGGCTCGTTTTGCCACCTGAGTCAGCAGGTGCCGGTGGCCCCTTTCAGTGAGGGTTTCTCCCTCAGCTCCTCCCCCACCCCACCGTGTACCCTCAGAGCTTCAGCCCCAGCTATCTTCTGCCTCATCTGCGGCTTTGTAACCTCTGCGATCAGGAGGTGGCAACGGCCAGGCACAGCCCTGGCTTCTTCCTGGGGCCTGGAAGGGGACTTTTCAGCTTCTTGATGCTGCGTTTCTCAGCTCAGTTCCTGGAGGGATAAAGGTGAGGGCTCTCGAGGACTCCAGCCTGCTCAGGCCCTGCTGTGGCTTCTGCCTGCCAGGCGTGGGCAGGCCCAGTCTAATGCTCACATCAGCTCTGGTTGAGGGGCGTTGCCCCGGCCTGGGGGGCCAGTGGTGCTGGGAAGAGGTAAGTAGCTCATCCGAGGTCACACAGTGGGTGATAGCAGAGCTTGGACATGAACCCAGATGGCTCCAAAGCCTGTGCTAAGCTCACCTGTGCTCCCTTCACACCCAAGCCCGTGGCCCAGCCTGTTTGAGGAAGGTGCCGTCCCACATGATGGAACCGTGTGGCCCCATCCAGATGCCGATGTTGGACACCAACTGGTTCAGCTGGGTGCTGTCCACCTGTAGGAAGAAACAGCTGGGCGAGGCCCTCCTAGGGGGTGGTCATGGGCACCAGTGTGGCCCCCACTCTACCTGGACTGTGGTGTCACAGCAGGTGAGAGGGCCAGCCGTGGAGACCACGGAGGATCCCGCCTCCTGGTTGGGGAGCAGCTGGGGGGCGGTGCAGACCAGCTGGACATTGATTAGTGTCCTGCACACCAAGGCTGTTTCTTGGGACACCACCAGGACGAAGTGACTGTTTCTGAAGCACTGGGCAGTCACTGGGATGAAGGCAGATCAAAGAGGAGGGTCAGGGCCTTGGGGTTCAGGGTCCAACGTAGACACGGTGCGGGAAGGGCCTGGGCGACCGTCAGCATTTGAGGGCTGGCCTCGGAGGGGAGACCTGGCTTCTCTCACTGCCCTTTCTTGCAGTGGTAACTCCAGCAAAGCCTTCACAGACTAGACTTTCTCACACAGGCAACAGACAGGTGAACTACACTCTAAAAGTAGGGTCACCATTTAATTTATCATCCGCGCTGGAATGTTCTAGATCTACGGGTAGGGGTACATGTAAAGATAGATTAACTGTTATCAGGCTGGGGCAGGTGGTCAACACATCTAAAGATCTCTTCTGCGGTCCATTCTGCGGGCCAGGCTCTCCTGGGAACGGGGCGTGGAGCAGTTTCATCACTGGTGGGTGGGGTGGGGGAGGAAGCCCTCCTATTCCTTCAGCATTCAGGGGACCAGGGCCTTGCTTGGTTTGGAAAGTGGCACCTGTGTTGTCATAGTAACAGGACCCTCTCTGGTGTTGTCATGAGAGCAGCCAGCTGACGGGCTACCTTTGAACTTCTCACTCTGCGGGGGATGTGCCTGGAGGCCACCTGGCACTGTTCCTGAGTCAGAGGGTACCTAGGGCTGGGGACAAGCGTGGTGAGGACACGAGAAGGAGCCACGTGGGCTGCAGACCTCCAGGGAAATGGAGCCCAGCAAAGGGCTGTCAGTCCCCCCGATCCTCAGGAAGGCTCCCGACAGAGTGTGCGCGCACGCAGGACTCCTCCGTACCTCCGTAAGCTGGCTTGTCAGCGGCTCCCCACCGTGTTCCAAGGTGCCCCGCGGGGGTCAAGAGCTAGGGTGGGGTGGGTGGGTCCAGGGACAGTGAGGCAGAGGTTAAATGGGCTAAGCTGTCCTCTGGGGGTAGGGCGGAGGGGATGCGGATGAGGGTCAGGAAGTGAGAATGTGGTGGGTGGTGCCAGGTGGGAGTCTGGAGTCCAGGTGTGATCAGGTTTGGAACAGATCAGAGTGACCACTGGGCAGCACAGCTTCCATGAACACCCTCAGGTGGGAGCGCTCATCCTACAGGAGAGAAGGCGACAGGGCAGCAGCAACCAGGCAGAGGAGGGATCAGTGCCCAGGACTTAGCCTTTCTTACCCACCAGCCCGCTGAGTGGCCTTGGCTTCCGATGTGTCCCTGGTCCTTGAGGGGCCTCTCTAGCCTGACACTGTGTTAGGGCAAGCTGGTTCCCAGCCGTGGGGTCTCCCCCAGAGCAGGGAGATCCCTACCTTCTCCAGCACAAGGCAGTCTTTGTAATTGGCAGAAAAGACCGCGGGCCCCTGGGGCTCGGCGGTCACCCGTGATGGCAGATGCAGCAGCTGTTCACCTCAGACGGGTTCCCAAATTCATCTGGAATGGGGGGAGGGGAGACAGGGATGGAGGGAAGGAGTCACGGATGTTGAAGGGGGAAGCCAGAGGCCGTTGGACTCTGCTGAGAAGACCCCCCACTCAGGAGAAGTGCCTTCTAGAGGTCTCCTGGGGCATTAAGGCCGTTAATACCACCGTGGCTGTTACCTATAACAAACAAGGAGAACAGACAATTAAATAATGTGGCCTCCTGGCTGGGATCCTAAAACAGAAAAAGACCTTAGGTAAAAGCTAAGGAAATGGACTTGAGTTATAACAATGTGTCAACATTGGTTCATTAATTGTAATAAATGTACCATTCTAATGTGAGATGTTAATTACAGGGGGAGCTGTGTGGGGTATATGGGAACTCTCTGTGCTATCTTCTCAGGTTTTCTGTAAATCTGGGACAGTTCTAAGAAATAAAGTCTGTTAACAACAACAAGCCTGGTTCACAGACAGGGGCGCTTCCCACGCACCCAGCAGGGTCCCAAGGCCTTGCTTGTATTAGCTCATCAGGGGCCGTCCCCCGAGGGAGGGGCTGTCCCCGTCCTCAGTCCTCATCTCCTGGAAGCCTTACCGCAGGGTCTGGAGGAGCCCAGCTCAGCCAGCGTTAGTCCCCACAGGTCGTTTTAATTCATAGCAGCGGGGAGAGCATGTGGCTTGGTAGTCAGAGTCTGGTTCCAGTCCAGGCCCCTGGTCACTTTCTGGCTATGACCTGGGACACATCTTTTTTTCTGAGCTTCGGTTTCCCATTTGTGGATTGGGGTTGATATTGCTTACCTCGCAGGGTGACGGGAGACTGAAAGAGACAAATACTGGGGGTGATAAGTCATTTGTGATAATGACTGAACACCTGGTAGTGATCAACTTTTACTGCGATTAGCGCCGAGGTGGGGAAGCTCTGTGGGTGAAGGGCTCTGGGAGCAGAAGCAGGTAGAACCTGCGAACCCAGAGGCAGGGCAGTTTCTGGAGGGAAGTCTGCCTGAGCAGAAGCAGAGGCGCCAGTGGGCACATGGGGTGCCGTCGGGGGGGGGAGCGGTATTGTGCCCAAGCGGAGGGAATCTGGGGGGTGGGGAGGGCAGGGCATAGAGAGGTGGGGAAACATCGCACTTAAGCTGGGCTGGGAAGGGAAGGAGATGTGGCTGGAGCGGGACAGGGGCTGGTGAGGTGACCTTCCTGCGGGACGATAGGAGGTTTTCAACTTTTTATTTTGAATTACTTCCATTCTTACTGAAAAGAAGTTCCATATATCCTTCACCCAGATTCCTCAAACGTTAACTGTTAACTTCTTTTTACATTTGTTTCAGAGCTCACCTTCTCTCTGATTGTATGTATGTGCGCACACACATACACACACACGCAATTTCTTCCATGTAGCGTGAGAGAGTTGGTTGCAGACGTGACTGACTCTGAACACCGCTGTGTGGATTTCTTAAAAAACAAGCAACCACAGTCAAAAGATCAAAATCAGGAAATCAACATTGGTATGACACAACTGTCTAACCTATGAACCTTATTCAATTCACCTATTGTCCTCATGCTTTTACGGCAAAGGAGAAAGTTTTTTTCCCAGGCCAGGTCCAGTCCAAGGTCAGGATCATGTTCCTTTGGCCTCTTCCAATCTGGGACAATCCCTCTGTCTGTGTCTTTCATAGCGTGAATATTTTTGAGGAATACAGGCCAGTTATTTTGCAGCATGGCCCTCATTTGGGTTTGTCTCATGTTTCCCCCCGCTTAGATGCAGTTTATGCATTTTTGGTGGTGTATGGGTTGCTAGGGCCACCATAACAAAATACCATAGTCTTGGTGGCTGAAACAATAGAAATGTATTTTCTCACGGTTCTGGAAGTTGGAAGTCCAGGATCACGGTGTCAGAAGTCTGGCTTCTTCTGAGGCTTCTCTCCCCTTGACTTGCAGGTGACCGCCTTCTTGCTAAGCCCTCACATGTGCGCATACACTCCTGGTGTCTCTTTATGGGTTAAAAATTCTCCTTCTAAGGACACCGGTCTGATTGGATTAGGACCCACCCTAATAGCCCCATTTTAACTTCGTCACTTCTTAAAACCCCATCTCTAAATACAGCCACATTCTGAGGTACTGGGGATTAGGGCTTCAATATATGAATGGAGGCACAGTTCAACCCATAACAGGCAGCAACACCCCAGAGGTGATGTTGTGTCCTTCTAATTGCATTCAAACCGGAGGCTCATCGTACTGGCTTGTCCTATTACTGCTGATAGATCTTTGATCACTGGGTGAGATGGGGTTGGCCAGGTTTCTCCACTCTTTGTAAATAGAAAGTATATTATGGGGAGATATTTTGAGACTACTTAATTATCCCGCCTCTCAGCAAACATTCACCCACTGGTGTGCTGGTTCTCCAATCCATCATTCCTTCTGTCAATACATTGCTTCGCTTTCTATTGTAACAGAGAGCTTTCCCTGATGGGGGGTTTTAGGTGCCAGGGAGAGCACCAGACAGAGGAGTTGAGAGGCCTGGATTCTATCCTGCATTCACCTCTCAGGAGCCAGGGGAACTTCCCCATCTGTAAAATAGGCATGGAATTAGATAATACTCAGGGAGGTGTTTTCTAACGGATCACGGACCTTACTCATGAGGAAGGCATCTCTCCCAAGTCCCTGGAAAGGCAGAGAAAGAGCAGGGGAGCTTCCTCATGGCCAAGGGCAGAAGGATGCCTTCGAGAAAAGTGGTGCTGAGCTGTCCTGGAGAGAGCGAGCCCTGAGCCCTTGGTCATGACTCTACATTCTTGCAAAGACTCACGGGCACCAGAGCTCATCTGCCCGATGCTGGGTGGCCTCAGCCTGCAGCGGCTTGAAGCAGGGTTTCAGTTCCCAGCCAGGGATTGAGGTCAGGTCACAGCAGTGAGAGCGCTGAATCCTAGTCACTAGACCACAAGGGACAAGTGGCCAGTGACAAAGCCCTGGCCCATCAGCTGTGTAGAGACGAATTTCCATATAGAGATGGAAAGTAGTGAAACAAGTAAAGTGTTTATTAGGAGGGAAAGGGTTACGTGTGGATAGACACACGGACGGGCTGAGAGAGAGAGAGTCATGCCCTTGTGATAGTTTGAATCACTTATATGGGGCATTCCTTCCCGGTTTCCTTTGGCCAATCATCTTGCTTTGCTCGGTTCTGAGGCCGTATTTGGTTTATCTCAGAGTCCTCCCGTGCGTGCACACGCATCTCTTAGCCAAGATGGATTCTAGCGAAGAGGGCTATGGGTAGCTTGACATCACTTACTATGAGATGATGCCCCCTCCCTTTTGACCTCTGAGGAGCCTTTCTGCACATGTACAGTTGGGAAGGACTCCTTGACTTCAAGAATGAGGAATATTTGGTCTTTTATCTCTTTTCTGGGCACGGCTCAGCTATTCTTCTTCTTTTTTTTTTTTTGCGGTGCGCGGGCCTCTCACTGTTGTGGCCTCTCCCGTCGTGGATCACAGGCTCTGGACGCACAGGCTCAGCGGCCATGGCTCACGGGCCCAGCCGCTCCGCGGTACGTGGGATCTTCCTGTACCAGGGCACGAACCCATGTCCCCCGCATCGGCAGGCAGACTCTCAACCACTGCGCCACCAGAGAAGCCCTCAGCTATTCTTTTGCTCCTCATCTTGGAGTATCTGTCCGCAGGCGACAGACTCTGGCTGCTCAGCCCGGGGCCCATCTATCTCATGCCTCAAGCCTGAAGCTCCAATGCTCACCCACTAGAGACCTTGGGAAAGTCACCTACCGGCTTGGTGACTCCATTTCCTCATCTGTATAATGGGGCTAAGAAGGGTACATAACTTGTAGGGTTGCTCTGAGGATTAAATAAATAACCCATGTAAAGCACTGAGAACAATCTGCATGTGGTAATCATTTGAACGTGATAGTGATGAAAACCACCATTATTTTTTATGGTTGAGGAGAGAGGGTCAGATCAGGGTGATTTGACTTGGAACCTTGGCTTCCCTCTTGGCCTCTTTCTAAACCTCAGTTTGTTTATCTCTTTCTCACCTTTTTAAACTTAGTCCTTTTTATTTTTGAAAATTGGACTTGAGTTTCTGAATCTGTAAAGTGGGATTAAAAATAAGGTCAAGGGTCTGTCCTTGTGGCACAGTGGTTAAGACTCCACGCTCCCAATGCAGGGGGCCCAGGTTTGTTCCCTGGTCAGGGAAATAGATCCCACATGCATGATGCAGCTAAGAGTTTACATGCCACAACTAAGGAGCCCGCCTGCTGCAACTAAGACCTAGTGCAGCGAAATAAATAAATAAATATTGAAAAAAAAAAAACGTCAAAATCACTGAGGTGCTGAGAATTCCGCGTCAGTTCTCCACCGCATCTGTTTGTTTGTTTTTTGTTTCCTTTGCTTTTGGTTGCACCACAAGGCAGTGGAAATCCCCTGACCAGGGATCACGGATCAAGCCCGTGCCCCCTGCAGTGGAAGTGCGGAGTCTTAACCACTGGACCACCAGGGAAGTCCTCACCCCATCTGTTCTGCTAATAAAAGCCAGGGATGGAGGGAGGGTGCCAGTGGAGGAAGGGGCCTTTCTAGGCTGCAAAGACAAGGCTGACGGGGAATGGGATACTGTGATTTATGATAAGAAATATATATTTGGTTTTTGTCCCTATCCTGGCAGAGCTCCTAAACCTCCTTGGAATTTCCTGGGTGGAGAGCAAAACAAAGGTGTCTTTTGTTATGTTGCTGAGGTTCCTTTAGGAAGGCACCGAGGGATGGGGGCTTGCTGCCAAGGGAACCAACCACATGGTTAGAGGATTAGAACACATCCCCCCTTCCCCACCTCTTGGGAGGGAAGAGGGGCTGGAGATTGAGGTCAATCACCAACAGCCAATGATTCAATTAATCATGTCTATGTAGCGAAGCCACCATAAAACCCTCAAAGGACAGGGTTCAGAGCTTCCACATTGGTAAATGTGTGGAGATATGGAGAGGGTAGCACCCAGAGAGCACGGAGGCTCTGCGCCCCTCCCGTACACCTTACCCTGTGCATCTCTTCCACCTGGCTGTTCCTGAAAAACCTTTCTCTGAGATCTGTGAGCTGTTCTAACAAATTAATCAAACCCAAGGAGGGGGTCGTTGGAACCTCAGACTGATAGCCAGTTCAGATCAGCAGAAGAGGTGACACCTGGACTTGTGATTGGTGTCTGAGTAGGGGGAGGGGACAGTCTTATAGGACTGAGTCCTTAACCTGTGGAATCTGATGTTATATCTCCATGGAGATAGTGTCAGAATTGAATTGTAGGCCACCCAGCTGGTGTCATGGGGAAAAAAACCCACACAAAATCATAGGGACCAAAGCATGTACGGGAACCAGCAGGAAGCAGGTCACCTCACCCCAGGGGCCTGAAGACAGATCCAAGGGAAGCCCTAGCCATGGTCCCTGTGTCATAGGGAAGAACAAATCTGACTCCATATTGGATCTGTTTCTTTTACTTTAACCTTTGTATTCTATTGCTTTTGCTACAAGTTAATCACTAAAGGGATTTTGCCTATAAGCTTAAATTATACATAATGGCCCATCTCTGGGAACCCTGCCACCCAGGTGATGAGTGTTAAGCTAAAATCCCTTTGTTTAGCTCACAGGAAACATCCTGACCAAGCCCACCTGTGAATGGCTGTAGGAAAGAAGAAATTAACACATCCCCTCTGGAGTCTGGCTGGAACCGGGAAGTGTTTGACTTTACCCACACCCCCCCCCCCCCCCCACAAGAAAAACAAAAAAAGCCACTGAATGAACATTACTCACTGAGGGAAGACACCAAAAACAATGGGAAC